GTGAAATTTTAAACAAGGAGCAAGTTGACTACAAGTCTTAAAATTTTTTTAGGTTTGCTTGTTTTCCTTGTCTTAGACCATATGATAACATAAGTTCAGTTTTCATTCCATCAAATGTGTCTCACAAAGGTTTCAAGTGCCTCAGTGCCACAAGCAAAATCTATATATCTAGACATGTGGTTTTCAATGAAAGTGAATTCCCATTTCACTCTGGTTTTCTCAACAAAAGAAATAACTTACAAAATTCTCAAACCATTATTCAATATGTACCATTTCATTCATCTCCAAGCTATGATTCAACGTGCTCAACTGATGCAACTCTAACAGCAACCTGTCAAAGTTTTGAACAAACTGAAATGGCCAGGAATGAGGCATCTGATGAAAACGAAAATGAGAACACAGTGGTAAATGATGAACACACCCAAGTGGAAAATCAAGAAGCATTTACAAATGATCAGATAGAGCAGGCTCAAGTAAATGAAGAACAAAATCAAGGTGCTACAGAACCAGAAAAATAGGTAGCTGAGCATCATATGATTACCAGAAGTAAAGCTGGTGTCTTCAAGCCAAAAGCTTACTCTACTCAGTGCAAAGAATATATTTTGGACCAAAAGGAACTTGAACCAAATAATGCATCTGAGGCACTTCTAAGTGAAGATTGGAAAGGAGCAATGGAGGATGAGTACTCAGCATTAATAAGGAACTAAACTTGGAAGTTACTTCCTCTATCAGTCAGTTAGAAAGTGATTGGTAACAAGTGGGTTTTCAAAGTTAAACATAACATTGAAGGGAAGATAATGAAGTACAAAGCTAGACTTGTTGCCAAGGGATTCTTACCGACCTCGGGTGTTGATTATCATGAAACTTTCAGCCCAGTGATAAAAGCCTCTACCCTAAGGATAATCCTTACACTAGCTGTTTCAAAGAGCTGGGGTATTAGACAAGTTGACATAAATAATGCTTTCTTGAATGGGAACTTAGATGAAGAAGTCTACATGAATCAGCCTGAAGGTTTTGTTGATGAGACAAATCCTTTGCAAACTCGAAAAAGCACAACATGGACTCAAGCAAGCACCTAGAGCTTTGTACAAAAAACTGAAGAAGACTTTTCTTGACTGGAAGTTTACAAAATCCAAAGCAGACTGCTCATTTTTCTTCTATATGAATCAAAGTCAAGTCATCTTTGCCCTTGTATATGTTGATGACATAGTAGTAACTGGCAATGATAACAACATGTTGCATAGTTTTATTGACAATAGAAACACTTAGTTTGCATTGAAAGACATGTGAGAACTACATCAATTTCTAGGAATCGAAGTAAGAAGACATGAGTCTGGTACGCATCTTACACAGGTAAAATATACTAAAGACCTACTAAAGAGGTTCAACTTTGAGCATGTAGGCAAGTGTATCTCTAAAAATGAAGGAGAAAAGATGTCAGATCCTTCCTTATTCAGAAGTGGAATAGGTGGTTTGCAATACCTATTACATACACGGTCAGACATAACTTTTGCAGTGAGCAAAATGAGTCAATTTCTTTAGGCTCCCTTGATGCACACTGGAAAACAGTAAAAAGGATTTTCAGGTACCTAAAAGGGACTTCAAGCAAGGTTTATGGATTCAAAGAAGTGACATAATGGAAATCACTAGCTTTGTTGATGTTGATTGGGCGTCATGCCCTGATGACAGGAGATCAACAGCAGGTTATTGCTTTATTTGGGAGATACATTAGTGGCCTGGTCCTCAAAAACGGCAAGTGGTAGCCAGGTCAAGCACTGAGTCAGAATAAGAGCTTTAGCTTACGCAAGTACGGAGATAGCTTGGATTGAATCACTCCTTAAAGAAATCAAGTTTCATCCTACTTCAACTCCAATTCTATGGTGTGACAACCTCAGTGCCAGCACTTTAGCCTCAAATCCAGTTTATCAGGTACGGACGAAGCACATTGAACTAGATATATATTTTGTTAGGGATAAAGTTCTTGAGGAAAAACTGAAAATACAGTATGTTCTCTCTTCAAATCAAATTGCAGACATGTTAACTAAACCACTCTCACAAACCAAATTCACACTTCTTAAAGACAAGCTTCGAGTTAAAGAATAGACTCCAGCTTGAGGGAGGATGTTGAAATATTTGCAATTGTCATCATCAAAGTTATGCATGCAAGAGGCAGTGGAAATCACATGCTGAATACTCACTTATGGGACCACATTTAACCAGTTATAACTGTATTGATTCTCACGTATATAGTACTTTTTCTTTCTTGCTCATTACTCCAAAATTGTATATAAATTGTGTATGCTGTCTTCTCCAATTTGCAACAATTAGAAATACAATCAGCTTCCCAAAATTCTATTTAGCTTCCTCAGTCCTTCTTACCCTTTTTTTAACTTATATATATATTTGTAGATCTTCTCATTCTAGGATTATATTTTATGTAAGTGTGCAATAATAAGTCCATTGCAGACTGTGAAGGTAAATAGCCGTCCCCATTTGTAAATTTGTTCCAAGAATATCTATTGTCTAGTTAAGAAGCACTATCATACCATCTTAGCAAACATTTACTAGTTCTTTACTAAAATATTTGCAAAACCCAATTCATTGGATTCCGATAGCATCATAAATCCTTAAAGCGTAGAGAAATACATTTTATTCAAAAGTCATGTATGATTACAACCCAAGAAACCAAAATCAGATGTTGGTTTTATTGTCAAACAAAGACGATTTGCTGAAAAACACGAAAAAGGGAAAGATAACTTCATCGACTGCAAAAGCCCCCACACGACACAAGCGTTGCATCAAACATAAGCATCAGGATTCTGGAGGAGATAGTCTTCAACTACCTTGTACATGCCAAGGACTCTTTTTTTGCCCGCCTTGATATCATCTTCTTTGAGCACAAAATCACCTTTAGTGTAGTAGTTGCTTGTAACCTTAGAGATAGAGCCCCCATTAGCCGATGGCTCAAACTTGACCTCATAAGTTATTTTCTCGAGCCCTTCTATCAAGGCATCACCTTCAACCAACGAGTACTTATACGTCAGTGTCTTTTCATTAAGCTCGTCAATATGATACTTCACCGAACCAAAACCACCACCTGCATGAACAATGGAGGTCAGCATACTCAACAAGATGATTTATTATCAAAATGTACTAGTACTAGAAGGTTTCCGAAAAATTTACCCTCAACAAAGTTGATTTGCTTGATACTTCCAGTTCCTCCGTCGCCTTGGACAAATTCTATGCTTTTAATAGCTTGTGGGACGAGCTTTGGCATCAAGTTATGAGAGTCAATGATGGAAGCTTTAAAGATCCTCGATGGGGCGACTGCGGAAGTGTGCTCATCGGTGAAAGTATTAACTCCCATTTGTCTAAATGAAGTTTTGTATAAAAAGTACTTGGAGGATAGTAAGAAATTAGAATGTTTCTCGATGAATACTCTCTTTGCATAGAGCAACTTAGGAGAAAATGGAGTATATATAACACAAATCAAGAATTCCTTTACTTGTCTTTTCATTCTTTTTCCCTTTACAAATTTTTCGATCCTCAACTACCATAACAAGTGGACAAAGGAGGGTATAAAGTGGAGGATAGCAATATATTCTGCATTTTGTCCAGCATGTTTAGATTATTCAGAATTTCTGAAAAATTAATGATAATTGGACTAATATTTGTAGCTTTTATATTGTTCTATCTAAAGAGAAATAATCTTTTCCCAGGTGAACTTCGCTATGTTCCGTTAGGACAAAGTGGAGTTTTAGATGTTCAAGCCAAGTGAGTTGGTCTGACGATAAAATAAATAAATAAATAACTGAGAAAATTAAGGATTAATATTTTATAATTTTTTTTTTTTTCCCATGAGCATATTTTGTATACCGTAGGTATATTTTGTTAATATTACTACTACTTTCCCTGAGTGGAATCAAGGCACCGCAAAACCATTCTACATACACAGCATATCGTCCCTCTTTTGTGCAAGGTTCTAAAAAGCTCATCCCGTCTAGGCACGAGGCTCGGGCAAAATGTCATGCCATGACAATGAACGCCTAGTGACACTATTAAATTTTTTTTCTTTTTTAAAAGTCTTTTATTTAACTTTAATATTAAGTTTTTAAATTTACAAAAGTAAAAAAATGAAAACATGTTACTTTAGGAAACTTCGAGTAGGACTTGTGTAGTTGAAAGTTGAAATTATGAAAAATAATCTAACTTTTACATTTCGAAAACTTGAAAATTGTAAAATTTGTTAACGGTAGAAATTATCAAATAAATATAATATTTTATAATTTTAAATGTTCGGTATGTATTATTTTAATTATGAAATATTTTTTAAGACGGCTAAAAATTTAATACAATATTAAAAATAAGAAAACGTTTTTACGCTTAGCTTCAAGTTTGACTTCCATGTCTAGTCACGTTTCAAACTTTTTAAAACATGCTTTTGTGGCGCTATATGTTTGCGCCAATTGTTAATTTTATGTTTTTTTTTTTCTCAAAATAAAAAATTCGCACAAAACTATGTGCATGTTTGAGTACTTATTTTACTTGTAAGGAGAGAATACATGTACACAGGTTTGAGGCACAAACAATTTTCATGACGAAGACAAGACGTGAACTCAAATCTTCAGACTCTAATACAATTGAACTACCTCATCAAAAACGTTAGAAGTTGTAAAGATAACATATTTTTTTAAATTTCGTGTTCAACCGCAATTTCATAAAAACCACTCTAAATGCAACCCAAAGTGATTTGAATGTTTCCAAACGACAGAGAGTAGGAAACTTTACTTTTATTTTCAGAAATTACAGTAGTGCTGATTGACACAATCTTCCCCTTCTGCTATTGTATCTCCACATGGATAAACAATATATTTTAAATCGACCACAGGAAGCTAAGAAAAATTGACAGGTAATTAGTTACTATTCATCGTTTCAGAGGATTGTTGGGTTGTTCGCTCCTTTGAGTGGCAAGTGACTATGAGCTTCCTATGCAATATCTTCTAGTCCTCCATTTCCCAAAGAAATTTAGCATACGAGGCAAGAACATTGCTGAAAGTGATAGAAAAATAGAAAAAAGAAATGGTCAGTTAACCGTGAAAGCTCAGAGTTTACCATAATTCAAGAGCATGTGGGGATAAAAATTCTCAATAATTAATAAGTAATCTACTTATTTAACCTCTTTGATGTGATTGAAAGAAACAGATTCATCTATACCTATTGTCTGGAGTCGCTTGGACTGCTCGCTGAAAGTAGGAGACAGCGCGATCTTTGTCATGGTGAAGCTGCCACACCAAGTTAGCATACTGCGAAATTATCTCGCCGTCATTGGGATCCGCCAGTATTGCACGAGAGTAGAATTCTTCAGCTCCTATAAGATCTCCCTTGGACTGTCCAACCAAATAGCAAATTACTTGAACATTATGAAACGAACAATCAAACAAGCTTCTATGCAGAGTTTGATGATTTTGTTGGTTACTAATATTACGCCCATTTGCCAGGGGTAGTAGATGGAAAGAAGAAATACAGTTCATTATATTGAAACTATGAGATTAGATTGAATACTGAGGATGATTATTATTGAAAAGCCTAAGTTATGAATCTCAAGATATCATCCTGAAAGACAGTTAAACGTTTAGGCAGCATAAAACATGGGATGGCTACATGAATCATCTTGCACCATTTTTTCTATTCAACTACTAGAAGGTCCAAAGAAATCTATTTTTTCCATGCTAGGTACAATAAATTTGGTGTATTTCACCCTTTTCCAACTATTTTACTCGTGTATTCGTATTATGTCCAGTTGCCGGTTCATATCATCCACGCATTCATCTTGACATTTTTATTTAAGCTACATCAGTCATATCCAACCTCATAAATAGCATGCAGCAGTTCTCCATCATGTCCAACCACATAAATTAGATCATCAAAAAATCCTTATTCCTCTGTTGTAAAATGATCCTATATTGTGACTTCACTATCCTCCTGTTCCTTCTCAAATAAAAGGACATTGTATGCATTCTAGTTTTACTTAACCTAAAGTATTTAGATTTCAAGTACTCCTACGATACTCTAGATGGTGGTCTATATGCCCACCAAGGTATATTAAAATAATGTAATTGACAAATAACATACCAGTTGTCTATTTTGGGATTTTTTTACCCGACCTCCAGTAAGAGTCAAATAGAATTAATATACCATTGTTGAAAATCTTAATCTCCGAGTTAAGAATTCTCTTCTAATTTATGGAAGCTGGACCGTGCACATAAAACCTTGTAATGGAGTGGTCAACTAAATAACGAGCTCAATTGAAGAATGCTAATTAACTCAAATAATATTGGGAAAAAAAAACCACAATTGAATCTGCTTGCTGCATATATTAACAAAGATGGAATACAACTAAGACTCGTATGTAATAATGTCAATCATCAATAATTCATATGATGATCACATAGATGTCGAACTTCAACATGAAAACAGACAGAATACACAATTACCTGATGTAAGAACTGAGCACAGTTCCTCAGAAATAAATTATTACGAGGATTTTCGTTGACCATCCTGCGGTAATATTCCTCAACATCAGTACCAATGCCACCATGGAAACTAGGTACATCAATTCCCAGTCCCATTGCTAGATGTAAAGGAGGGCTAGCTGGTCTATTATCTTCTTCAAAGTTTGTTCTCTGAAGGTCAATCGGCATGGTGTTTTCTTCAATCTGATGTTTATAAAGAATGTTAGTTAAACCCTCAAACTAGGCTTCACCAAAATTATTCGTAGGAAGATAAACACCTGACTCGGGTCATTAGGTGTGCAGTCTTCATCCTCGCTGTCATCTATTTCCCAAAGGAAACTAGCATATGCAGCTAGAACATTGCTGAAAGCAAGAAACATGAATCAGCCACTGAAAATCTAGTTTGGAAAAGAAAAAAATAAAAAACAGATTACAGTGTTCCAAAGTGGGGTTTTCAGTCTAGAATCAATAAAACTGGCACGCATTCGAGTTTTAAACTCTACAAAGTGAATTATTGGGTTGTTTCCGAGTACAATATAAGATACACCACAGATTATTTACCTATCTTCAGGAGCTGCCTGTGCTGCTCTTTCAAAATAAGTCGAGGCTCTATCTTGGTCACGATAAAGCTCCCACATCAATTTCGCATATTGCAGAAGCGCTTGGCCGTCTTCAGGATCTCTTAATATAGCACGGGAATAGTATTCCTCAGCTCCCAAAAAATCCCCCTTCGACTGTCAATAATGCTTTGATAGGTTATTTAGAACAACAAAATGATGGTTAAATCGTACTTTGGTGCACAGACTCAGAGGTATCTAAGTGAAACTGTGGCATCAAATTCTAACTAGCTACTAGTTAAATTATTTGTTAAATAATAAAAATGGTGACAGTTTACATCAATAAAAATCCAGAAACAAGGCAGCAAATTTAGTCAGAATGAAAAAGGAAAGAACCTAACCTGCAGAGCTTGAGCATAATTCCTCAGAAACAAAGGGTTGGAAGGATCTTCCCTAATCATCCTCTTGTAGTAATTCTCAGGATCATCGCCATCATTAAAATTTGATGGTTCAATACCTCCGTCAGTACCAATACCTTCAATCCCGGCCCCTGTATCATGATAAATTACATGACTCACCGTCTCACCTTCAACATCAATTTTCAGATCTTTGATTCGACTCGAATTTCTCTTTCTTTCTTCTACATCTTGTTCATTATCGCCTTCCTCAATCTTCCACATTACGTTCTTTCCAAAATTAAATTCACCTTCAATACTTTCTCCAGTTGTCGTGCTTCTCTCCAATTTCCCGTCACCTGAATCTCCATTTTCCCTCGCTTCTTCGAACTTATCCTCCGTACTATATATAGAAAGAGACGGCTCTGTGTGCAACATTGAGTTGTAGTGCCTATGCAAAGATTTGTTAACCAGAGTTCTAGAGCTCCAAACTTCTTTAATATCAAACAAGGTTGAAGCTAGTTCTTCCAAATTACTATCAGACAGCTCTGCAAAAAAAATTCCGTCAAAGGCTATTGGATTTTCGTCTAAAATCAGGTAACCAAGAATTCGAAGGAGACTCGGGAGATGAATTGCAAGAAAATGAACTCAAACTATCACACCATGAAGAAGTGAGATTTTGGTTATGCAGTGATCATTTATATGTAATCTATTATGACTGAGAAAAAGGGCTTGAGCAACTGGTGTTGATGTCTTGATGAGCTTCGAATTAGCATCTATGAACTGGGATCTATTTCTTGCTTCAAATTGCAAAAGATTCTGACCTGTAAATAAAGAAATGGGATAATTTTCCAAACTTTTGAAACATTTGTAGACTTTTTCTCAAACTTTTTATTTGTTACAGTCGTCACCGCTATCATTTTCAAACGTTGCATATGAAGCCCTTTTGGACAGTTTTTATCCACAATTACGCCAGTTGACCAAAAATTTAACTTTGACCACATTTTTAATATTTAAAAAAAAAAGTAACTTTATATTTATCACATTAAATAATTAAATAAAAAAAATAAAAAACACACTCATCTTCTTCTCCTCACTCCCACCCCAACCCCGTCCCCACCACAAACCCAAAATCAGCTTCCAACGGCCATCATTCTCTGACGTTTAGACGATACACCGACCAAAAAATTGCTGGAAACCTGTGCAACCCTTGAACTCCGAGGACTCCAAAATCAGCCCATAGCTTTGACAAAGAGGACTCCACAGTGATCCGAGCCAACTCCGACTGACTGTTTATCCATGTTCTAGACAACTAATCTCATCTCACTCTCTCTCTCTTCAACCCGCCTCGAAGTATGAGACATCCACATGGTGTCAACACCACCAAGAAACAATGATTGAAACTAAGCTCTCCTTGCAGAGGTTTCCAACGGTGGGAGGGTTCGAGGTGAGGGTGAGGAGAAGAAGAGGATTGTGTTTTTTCTTTTTAATTTCTTAATTTTTTTAATTTAATTAGTTGGATTATCTAATGTGATAAATATAAAGTTAAATTTTTGGTTAACTGACGGGATTGTGGATGGTAATTGTTCAGAAGGACTTCACCTGTAAGTTTGGAAATGTTAGGCTTGACGACTACAATAAATGAAAAGTTTGGAAAAATATGCTAATATTTCAAAATTTTGGAACTTTTGCTGCAATTACCCATAAAATAAATAGGACCAAGTTAGCAAAATTTGACTTTGATTACATAAAATCAACCACAAGAGTGTACATCTCTATCAATAACACGATTGAAATGAATTTGTCGTAATCATAGATATTTTTTCCGTATAGAAACAAATCACAATTAGGTTTCATACATTCTTAAAAATTAAATAAGTCAAAAGTTTCTTACATTTGAAGCGTGGCAATGTGATTAAACTTCTTGATAAAAAAATGCATTAGATTTGACCCTACAACTTGCATCACCGCTAATTTAATACTCACATGCAACGAAGTAAAATAACAACTACCAAATTGCAAGATGCCTGTGAGTCATTTATGGATATTATTAGGAAGGTCGTGCAGATCTAGTCTAGTCTCAGTTCGCTCCTTCGGGATCAAGATCAAATAAACGAGCATTCTTGATCTCTCAAGCGAAGATTTAACATTTTTCCCAACTTTTCTAGCATATAAATCTTTAATTGAAGATTCAATTGAGCTGAAAACGGATGTCCCCCACGAACCCCAAACGAGTTATGAAGTAATTACAACTCTGGCATACACAATTGCAAGAACAGATTACCGTAGAGCATTTCTGATTTTTCGGAGCTTGAACCCAATTTACGTTGATATTCTAAAATTGATTTCATAAAAGATAAAACTACGGCAGGACGGCTAATGAGTGGTGCATAGGGAGATCTTAGGGGGTGGAAGGTGGATGATTATTAAAATATTTTTATTTATTATTTATTTATTATATAATTTATATTTCACTTGAAAAATATATAATAAATTAAAATATAATAATTGGGACTCATGTTACCCATCTTCACCCCAATTACCTTAAAAGGATGGGACGATGTAGTTTGACATTCATATACTGTAGTCCACAAAATATATTATCAAAAGGTATCTAAGAAATTAATTTCTAAAGGACCACGAAAAGATATGATTAAATATCTATATTAAACATGGTGTAAATAGTAAATATACAAACTCTTAAAAAGCCACCTACAGACGTTTTACGTCCAATCATTTCGGATAACGCTTGCATCCTTTGTCTTACCGGGGCTGCTGGCACAGAGTTAGTCGATGCTTATTCCCCTGATACCGTCGTTGCTTTTTCTCCGGGAAAATAATTATTTATAAATGATGATTTGATTACTTTATCCCATCAGAGACATGAGTATGACGGGAGCTCAAGGGCTGGATCGAGTGAATCGTCATCTAATTCTTCGTGTGTGGTTCCCGATGATGAGGATTTGCATGCCGAACAACTATTCGAAACAAAGAAAGATTTGTAGGAAGTTGTTCACTGAATTGCACTGAAATACAACTTTGAGTTCAAAGTGAAGAAATCAAACAAGTCATTGTTGATAATTATCTGCGTCGGCGACAGTTACTGTTGGCATTTGCGAGAGATGAAGATGGACACAAATGAATTAATTGTAATTCGTAAGTATACATGAGAACATACTTGCGGAATAGGAATTCGTCGAAATGATAACAGGTAAGCCCGAGCATGGTTTATTAGTCGACATATAATGCAAAAGTAGCAGGACCCGCGGACGATCACAGACCTTCAGACATCATTAATGACGTCCTTGAGAGTACGAAGTGGTCACAAACTACCAGAAGAATACACGATGAAAGATTTAATGGGCTTGATTGATGAGAATTATACTAAATTGGCTAAGTATCACCATAACATGAGGACAATTAATCTTGACTCAACATTTTTTATTGAGACAGATGACGATAATTGTTTTAAGTTTTTCTTCATGACTCTTGGACAATACATTTGGAGATTTCAAAATGCGATGCGACCCCTAATTTTAGTCGATGGTGCAACTCTAAAAGCTAGATACGAAGGCAAGTTAATTATTGGTACATGTCAAGATTCTAACATCCAAATGTACCCTCTTGTATTCAGCATAGTCAATAGCGAGAATGACTTGTCAATGCGTTGGTTCTTCAGTAAGTTGAGGGAAGTCGAGAACCTTGCCTTTGTAACTGATCGGGAATCGTCTATAATAAATGGTATCGTTAAAGTTTTTTTCGAGACACATCATGTATATTGCATGTATCGTATACAAAGCAATCTGAAAACTAGGTATCGGGGCAACAACATCATTTCATTATTTAGGAAAACGGTAGAAGTTTATAGTGTTGAAGAGTTTAATAAGTTCATGGTTGAAATAGGAAGTAAATCATTCCCGACATAGGAGTATTTAACAAAAATGGGGATTGAACATTGGGCACAGTCACATTTTTAAGACGTCGATACAATATGATGACGTCAAACAATGCGGGGTCTCTTAATACATTATTCAAGAAGGATCGAGAGTTACCAATCATTGCAATAATTGAGAATATTCGTAACAAACTACAAAAGTGGTTTCATGATCGACGTGAGGAATCACAGAGTTGCACGAGCGTGCTAGCCTTGGCTCAGGAGGATAAACTCGTCAAGGTTGCAGAGGTTGTGAGAAAACAGAATGGGGAACCATTGGATGGTTTGCGCTCTCCTTGAAATGTGCATGGAATACCGCATACACGGTGGACTTAATTGATAACACCTACACTTGTATTCGATTTCAGTTGGAGAGTTTTCCATGTGAGCATGTAGTCACAGTGGCTATGTATAGAGGCTTTGTAACAAGAACCTTATGCTATCCTTATTACACAATTATTATTAGAGAGCAGCGTATGATGAGACTATATTTCCTCTACCGAATAAAGACGAGTGGGAAGTTCCCAACCATATTCTCTCACTTAATAGTTTGTTGCCATCCAAATTTGAATTGCGTGGTCCTAGACGTCCACGTACGTCTAGAATACCATTCACTAGAGAGTTTCTTCAATAGTGTAGGTGCGACGGTGCAAAGCAATAGATATACTCATCAATTTTGTACAAGTCAAATCCCCCAAATAACAATTAGATGGATGTGTAATGATATCGCTATTAAATGCGAACAATATTTACATTTTTTTACAATTAAAGGGCCGTTTGATTCTCATTATTATAGAATGAGAATAAAAAATATAGTCGTTATTGGGCCCCAATTAAGAGATAGAAATTCAAAATTGATGACTTGATGTGATGGATAACGGTCATATTTTTCATTTTTATGGATGAAAAATGAGAAAACGGAGGCTAAATGAACAATTTACGGATCACAACTTAATGAACAATATTTATATATTTTTTACAATATTTACAATTATTTGACAATTAAATAAATAATTAAATGAGCATTGTTTAAATTTTTTTTACAATATTTACAAATTATTTCACCATTAAATATATAATATATACGGATCAAAATAGAATTCATACAAATTGTACGTTAACTTATCTTCCAATTTTGTATCCAGGATTGGTTGATTTTATCAACCTTACATGCTAAACTCAAAAAATTAATATACTTTATTGTAAACATGTTACAATCGTCTCTGCAATTAAAAAGTAAGGTGTTAGTTCAATATCGTGTAGCTAAAAACTAAATTTTCAAATTTAAAAAACTATAAATACTTATGATTTCAACTGTCTTGCCGTCGTCGTGTCCCGTATGATGGTTAGTTTGTCCTAGACATTCACACCCTCTCGTCTAGCCATCAAATGAACGATCACAGCAACTGGCTCTAGGTTAACCTCGAGCTGACCATATGTCAGACATGTCTGATTGGAGTCATACACATATATAGTGGAATCAACAAAGACAATCTACACGGTAAAACAGTGATGATTCGCGATCACTGGAATGTACATATGCATACATCCATCCCATGACCTTCCCTCGACATTCGGCAACATCCCTATGATCCACTCGATCATATATTCAGGCATCGTGTACTTAGTACCCATAAGTTGAAGTGATTGATACTTAATGGTAATGACACGTAGGAATTCAGTGTTCAATATGACTCGGCTAGCAATGTCAAATGATGTGGATATCTTTGTGCTCGATCGTGCAACAGGTCTATAGATAGGTCGATATGCTACAACAGGAAACACCAATAAAAAAGAGAGGAAGTAGTTTCATTTAATAGACCAAAAATTATGTATACATAATAAATAACAATTGCGATATTACACATATCGTCGGCGAGCCAAGCTTCCGAAGTCGTGATGTCATGAAACTACTATAAGCGTTCGGTACGTCATTTGAGCAATCGCGTAGCTAGCTCTAAAAAAAAGGAAATTTCTTAAAATAAACATAGACGAGTTAGTGTAGCGTGCTTTACTAAAATTATAAAATACTTACCCAGCATAATTCTTCTCCACCCTGTCTCGAACGCTTTCCACTTGGTAGGGTCTAACTCTTGGAAGAGATTGGAGTACGTCCCATCCATGAATATCCTCCTCTTTAGCTCAATATTGAAAGAAGAAACAACATACTGTGATGGAAATCTCAACCTCTTATCGACCACCTGTTCTGGTATGTCACAACATGCTTCAAACCCTCTGGCGTCCTTTCCTTATCCACCATCACCTCCGGGACCGTCCCCTCCAGCTCGGTGCTCGCCACCTCTTCCATCATTGGGGCCACCCCCTCCATCCTCTCTTTCTCTAGCACCTCTCCTATCACCATCGAGGCCACCCCTCTCGCTCCAGAGATAACAAAAATGATTCTAATGCACTCTCATCTGTCCACAATCGGTCTGTCTGTCACCCCCTCGTCTGCCTACTATATTGCATCGGAGCACTGCGACCTCGTCCTGAAGGTCTACTAAATAGCCTCGTAGCACTGCAATATCATGGGATAAATCTGCTTCATCGCCTCTCAACTCTCGTTGCAGCACTCCACCTCCTCTCCTAACTCCTCTCATAGAGCATTTACATCCTCTCTCAACTCTTGTCATAACGTGCCCACCTCCTCTTTGATAAATTCAGTCAAGCGGACATACTGTGCATCGAAATAATGACTCTGATTGTGTATAGAAGATTTGCGGGGGAGAGATCTCATCAATGGAGGTAATATTCAAGGTGAAGGTGATTGTTGATCAACTGGACCGCCCTCCTACACAAATAACAACATTAAAAATTATTAACTTAATTAAAATATGCTGACTCATACAAAATGGTAATCAACAAATTATATTTAATTCAAAAATAATAACAAAAGCAACAAAAATAAACAAAAGGAAATTATAAAAATTAAATAAGAATATAAATATTATTTAAAATTGAAAAAATTAAATTATCATAAAGATAAAAGAATTTATAAACAGTAAAAAATGAAAAAAAGGCAAAAAAGAGAGAGATTTGAGCAGACTAGAAGTCGTTAATAGTGAGCCTGGGCTGGTTGCAACCGACTGTTAACAGTCGGGTTGACAACTGTTAGGTTGACTGCTTCGACTTGACTGTTAACAGTTGTTCAACTTCTCGCCGAAAATGGTGTAAGGTATTTTTCAATCAAAAAAAAGAAAAACACTTAAATCACTACTATGCTAAATAATCTACCTAAATAATGATGGATATCATAAATGTTAAATTTAATCCACAAAAAAACTGACATTGTTGAAGATAATGTCACAAGTGACTGGTTTATTTGGTGGTCGAACCGTGACTACAGCGACGTCAACTGGA